TATGCACTTTTCGGTTTTCCACTTCAAATACGTATCCTTCCCTTGTTAGGACAAAATGTTACAAAGACAAATGATAAGAAAAGTGTTTTATGTTGATTTTCTTGAAAATTCTTGAGATATTGCTGATCATTAGGATTTTGACCAATTGACTACGGCGCAACTCATGGATCGGTCGCACTTTCGCGCTTTTGGTGCGCGTTTGTCAAAGGTTATCCAGATAGTTTTGTAGAATATGATGGTGCGTTGCTTACGCTTTAACACCTTCCTTCTCTTAATTTTTTTCATAAGAATCATTCTCATCTGCATTGGTTGCTTTATGCTATCTCTTGAACACAATGACTGATATTTGCAACATTGTTTATATTTATTTTTCAGGTCAAACTAAAGAGGCTGCTCGTGCGGAATATGTGGAATTTGCTGAAGAGATGATTCGTCGCTACCATAGAAAGATTATTAGGAGTAAATGGAACAGCGAAGTGTGGAGTGTAGACTATTGATTTTTTTCCCTTTGATATCTTCAAACACTATCGTTTCTAGTCATTTTTCGCCTTTTTCTTTGCTTCAACCAATTTTTTTTTATTTTAGTGAAAACTATGTTAAGTGAATTTGCTTGCCTTTGCTGTTTGTAACGTAGCTTGCTGTTCTTTTTTTCTTGATATTGTATTGTCTTATACATTTATCCATTTGTCCTGTTTTAATAGCAAATGAAATGATAACCATATAATATCTGCAAAATATTAATGGACGTACCTACAACTTCTAAGCTTGACTTGCTTTTGTTTGTTGGATTTGATAAATTTTTTCGAAGAATAAGCAAATGCCCATGACTCCATGTTCAATTTGATCTTAAGATCAATGATCTGAGTCGATTGCATCTGCGCCTAATGGAGGAATCTTCCCCGCGTATTGACTTTTTTTATGTCGATTTTTATCTTCTGACCATCCAACGAGATTTTTATGCCTTTTTTATATATTTGCTTATATACACCTCTACTGAGTATGTCAACAGTTACAATTCAAACTCATTC